GAGGGGTTAATAAAAAATTATCATTGATGAAAATTCAGTTCAAATTAAAATATTAATAAAATTAAAACTTTTCTAGATTTAATGGATTCTACGCTAAATCTTTTCAACGTGAAGTTTCATTATAGAATACGGAAAACATGAACAGGTGAATTTCTTATTACCGGATGCATCTTCCTTTTACCACTTGAAAGAATTCTTTATAAAGGTATCTTCGGAGGGATCTTAGCTACACAAAATTATATTTTCAAGCAAAGGCTTTCACAGAGATTGGCGGGGGCGTAGACGCATGTTAATACACGTATAGAAAATTCCTTCGTGCGTTCGTTCTTGTACGAAGCAAGACTGCAGGTCAAAAAGTTTCTTCGTCCAGCCAAGTTTTTTACGTGAAATATTGGATCGAGATTTTTTTACTTGTTCATTGATGCATCGTGGCAGTTTTTGTTATAAATTTTCTGCCTTCGTTCGACACCATTAATCGCGCATTCTAACATGAAAATATTCTTCCAATATTAACTTCAAGTATTAGAGAAATTCAGTTTATCAAAGTTCTTTTTAATCAGCACTTAAGACAGTGGTTGAAGACTTCAAACGTTCCAATTCCTTTTCTTAGAGAACTGTTCCGGATTAGTCTTTCCAAGTGACTTGTATTTCCTCCTTACGCAAGTCTACCACGTCCGTAAATCTGGGATTTGCTGTTTCACAGCTGGAAGAACTTCCTAATCTCAAGGAATTATTAACCACTCGGATAAAATCCACAATCTCTCCTGTTATCTGTCCGTTTAGTTCCAATTGGTATATAAAATGGAACAGAAATTTGGATCTTCTTCTATCTGTCCCAAGCTAGTTTTATCGTGTATAATATGTACATAGTCTCGTATACCATAATGTACCAGACTTAAATTGTAATAAAATGTGCGTAACTTGATTTTATAATACATAATTCCCAAACCTTCGAGCAGCAGAGACTCTCGTTATCAGACACACTTATCTCAATTCGTTTTCATACTTTGGTTTCGTATAATAGTGATTCACTATAAATGAAAAAAAAACTTTTAACCGTTAAGAATTTTTTTCTCGAAAGTGCGTAGGATTTCGGGGGTATGTTTATAAATCAAAAATGATTGTAATTGAACCCTGCAACTAAACATAATTTTTGTAGACGGATTTGATATTTTTTAATTTCATCGAAAAATTTGTCCACTTTCCTGAATTTCTTTCTCGAAAGTGCGTAGGATTTCGGGGATTTGTTTATACACCAAAAATGATTGTAATTGAACCCTACAACTGAAAATATTTTTTCCAGAACGATTTGACCTTTTTTTTTGTTGCCGAAAAATTTCAGGGAAACATGTGAATATATGGTCAGACATTACATTTTCAGTAAGGAATTTTTTTCTCGAAAGTGCGTAGGATTTCGTGGATATGTCTATTCACCAAAAATGATTGTAATTGACCCCCGAAACCGAAAATAATATTTCCATTGCGATTTGAAATTTTTTTTTCTCTTTAAAAATTGTTCTTAATTTTGAATAAATAATAATATGGTAATAAAAATGATGTAGATTTGGAATTAACCCAAAATACGAACATATAAAAGAATTCTAGAAGTATGTAATTATCCAGCTTGAAATCATTTAAAAATGTTACAATTACCAAACCAAAGTTACTATCTTAATACGAAACAGATAATCGACGTTCCTCCATTGTGTTCTCGTTCACAGTCGTATCGAAGACCAATCATGCTCTGCTTAAACCGTCGCTCTTACGGCGCGTTTATAAAATCGTTCGCGTTCCGCGACAAAAAGTGCTCTCGTAACAGGGAAAGGCGGGCAGAAAGCAACCGATTAAATCGGACTGGGGGTAAATGAGAAAAGTTCGAGAAGAGTTTCCCCGGATGTGGCGATAAAAGTTTCGAAATGTAAATGAACATAAAGCGGTCTACTATTCTTTCTTCTTCACCGCCCCAATCTGAACAATCCTACAGTGTCACATGATAAGTGTTCGTCCGAGGCCACTCCGGGCGTTTTTAATTACACCGAACGAGCCGCCGGGAATTTTTATTGCGTTCGTACAACTCGACGACAAACGGCGCGAAACCGTGAAAAACTGTCAATGCACGGCTGAACGAAACCGGGTCGATAGGATGATAAAGTTTTCACCGACTTCCTCGCCTTCCTGTTTCCTTCTTACAACTACAATTTTCAAACATTGTATTCCGAAACCACCAAAAAACTTATAATGTCGAAATTATTTCAATACTTAAGAATTAAAAAATTGATACTATAGGCAACTAATAATTAACTAATAATTAATAATTAAGTTTGGCTCGAAAATTCTGGTCCACTCAACTTATAGAAAAGGGACTTGAATCGGGTGATAGCTTTCCAGGGAAAAAGCGGGGGCGTTATAGTCGTGAACCGACGAAATCTCAAAGGAAGAGGATCGCGTTCCGTGTATTATACTTGTTTCGCCAGAAATCGAAGATACCCTCGCGAGACGTGAAAGGTTCAGGCTGTTTCGACGCGATCCAACATTGGCGAAACGATTAGAGCACCGACGTAATTTCGATGATACCGAGGGTTCGCAATTTCTTCCAGAAACGGCCAGTCTGACAAGCGGATCGTCCCCCCGTCTGGTCGGAACGAGTATTCCGGAAAAATTAAGGTCATCGGGAACGGTGGCTCTCCGTACTCCGTACGTTTGACCCAGTTCCACGATCTAATCCTGGATTACCACCTGTTCAGTTTCCTTAAAATTACCACCCGTCGCCGGAAGAGCTTTCAGAGCCCGCAGATGGCGATAATAATTCTGTCGTTTTAATCTCTTCGATGTAATATTCATTTCTCCAGCTGTTTCGCGAGCGCAAAGCCGTCGATCGACCCTAAAAAGAAACATTTCCAACCGTACCACTCCCGTCTCTGCGAATTAACCATAAACCTATCGATACTTCGCGTATGCCTATTCCTACCACGACTGGTCAAATGACCTTTCTTTTTCTCCTAACGTTCGATTTATATGCATAGAATGTTGTGTTTTCAAGTTTGTAAGCTTTTTCTCTCTTTCATGTAGCATATTTTTTCTTAAAGCGTGCATTTTAAAAATCTTAAAAGTTTTAAATGTGCATACTTGGTACTTCAACGCCTTTGAAAACGAATTTTGTTTCATAAATAATCCAGTTTTATCGCACACCACTCGTATAATCAATAGGAATTGCTGAAACTTCTTTAGGTATGTAGCGTTAAAGTAAATATCAAAATAAACATAGAAGATGGCATAAATTATAATAGTTGTTGAGTTCATTGGATAGAGGATGAAATGACCTTTAAAATGAGCGTTCGTACGAGTCGATAGCGTAATTAGTTCCGGAGATATAAGGATTCGAAGCGTTTGTTTACGTTTCATTGGCGCGAGGTCAATGACCGCGCGTAAATAGTAAACAGTGCGCAGTAAAATCTTGGAAACGACTTCGCGTCACGCGCGAGAGAGATCGGATGTGACTATAAAAATTACCCCTTTACATAAATCACGATATCTCCAAAACGGAAAGTCAGATCGCCAAAAACCAAAAACCATTTTAAAGGGGAAGCTTTGCCGCTTCCAACAATGGCCCAATTATGGATAAAACACTAATAGCTTCGAAACTACACAGGTCTAAAGTTTTAGTACTTTTCATACGTGCTGTTAGACTATTCCAAGACTGACCATTGAACTATGTATTTTCTATTTACATTGAAAGCTAACCCAGAATTCGATACCAAATTCTGTTTGGTTTCTTACGAAAAAATTGCATCTATTAAATGAAAAAATTAATCGAGGACCAAGAATAATTCCGACAAAGACTCGAAGGTATCGTGTAAGTAAACATGTAATTTTCTAGTGGATTTACTACCAACCGATTAGTAACCAAATACCCTGCACGTTCGACAGATCGAATAGTATATCTGAGTATTTACATCGTGTTTACCGTGATCCATAGTCGTAGAAACAATGCAGTCTTGCGTATTATTAAACGGTAACGCAAGGTTGACCAAACAAACCGACACAAACAGGATTATTAGTTTCGCGCGTGCTTTATTGTGGCGATGGTGCTATTAACGCCCGGTATTAACGGCGGCGTTCAATGATGCCATGCATCGAGGCCGTTTTCCCACCTAAACGACGCGACGGTGACACGATCGAAAAGATTATCGGCCGACAATCGCCGCCCGTACGTATTACAGATTCAACCTACACACAACCCTATTCGTAATTCGTCCGTCGACACGATTACGACGCGATGTACAGGCGGCAATTGATCGTCCGTCGATTGTTCATTTGCTCGGAAACTGTGGCACGTTTCGAGCAATGACACCCCAAAAGCTCCGACAGCTCGACAAAGACGACTTATAATAAGTTACAATAGGGTCGAATTAAATTTTCCACGTCTTTGTTCTACACCCTCGTTCACTATTTTCGAACGAAGGGGAGGATTTGCACGAATACAGTGTGCTCGACTATGTCAGAGAAGGATTTATCACAAAATTAATTGTGGAGGATGATCCTAATTGCACTCGTGGGAATAAAAATTAGGATGTAAACCATTTGTTGTTGCAATGCTCTTGGGTAACCAATGGGATTAAACTAATCGACAAACTGGAGAAACAATTGTTTGCAATAGCCTCCCTAATGAAATATAATCGACGTAAGAAGCCTGTGTATCATACAATGTAGAGATTACTGTGAATCAAGTCGCAGAATAATCTCCATTGTAGGTAGAAACTGTGTTAAAATTAATTTTAAAAATTACAATATTGCAACTGTGAAATAAAAATAGCAAAGAGGACGATTCCAGCTTCATCTAGCGTGTCAGCTATGATCAATACTTATTATGATATAAAATGTTCACCAGATGTCGTGAGCATCTACAGCACTGATAGTTTAAAGGTTAGTGCGCCTCTAAAACGTAAGTGGGGGACCCACTTGGCTAATAAGACTATAAGTAATGTTCCAATGTATTTTACCTGACGGAGATGTCGTCGTTGCCGCGTATAATCCCGCCGTCCTCGCTGAAAATGAAGATACGCGTCGCGTCGCGGTACCATTTGATGCTGTGCAGCCCCTCGCATTGCGGTAATTTTAGATCGCACGGCAGTTGTACTTCCGTGCCCAGTTCTGCTTGTTTCTCGCTCGTCAGCCACGGCTCGCTGCTTCCTGAAACAACGTACGCAAACGCTATGAATCCGTGCGTGGCTCGTTCGCCGACAGAACGAAGTTGAATCGTCGAAGCGGTGGCGTCCGCCGGTCGCAAGGGCGCCGCCATATTGGACCGCCGAGGCGATCCGCGCGCGCGAACATTCGAATCGATTTGAGTTAAAGTCACGTTTTCAACATTTCTGAGTTGTCAAGGAGCGAGGAAAATATTAATGCGGTAGTTAACGGTGATTCTGTTACGTTTTAACTTAGTTTACGTCTCAGATTGATTATATAGTTGCTGCTGTAATTTAGTAATTACGTTTGAACGTCGGTTGTTCTGTTCGTTCAGGATTTGGACGAGTCACTGTGCTAATGTTTACACTCTGGCCGGAGTTTGCCTTTCGCAGCGACAAATCCCCACGCTCTTAAGAAAATTAATATTTAAAGGGGAACGACTTGATAAAACGTGCAGGAATTAACGCAATAAAATTATGTGAATGGAAAACTATGCAATTTAGAGACACATTCCGGTTAAATTAGGGTTACGCAGCTGTTTGTACGTGCTCAAAATGGCCACCTTTGGGCTTCAAACATAGCGTCGAACTACGTTTCAGCAAATAATTAATTTCAAGAGACTCCGGTGATAAAACTCCGACGAATTTAAATATGGCGGACGCGCAGACTAGGCAATAGGTCCCGCACGACGCGTCCATTTGTCAGAAAATCGTTCATTCGAGTATTGTCTGGGCCATCCGGCTGAAATGTAGCGGGCACCGTCATGCATAAACCACACACCACGTAGAACATCTAATGGAACTTCTACCAATAATTCATACAATTGACTACTCAGGAAATTGACATAAGATTGATGCGGCGCCTTGATTAACAGATCAAATCCTGGCACATGCTGTCGGAATAATCGAATAAACGATCCCCCCCCCCGACAAGATCATTCATTTTAAAGTACGAGTTTTTTTGTTACAGACTCATGTCAATCGCATTAATTTACAGTTCCAACGCGTTTTGTCCGAATTCACTTGTGATCTAATAATTAACAAAGAAATTGTATCAATGAGAGAAGTCCTTTCGTAAACTGAAAAATAGCACGATATCGTCGCGTTTTGCAATTCCTCCCACTCAGGTTGAATAGGTAAAACAGACATATATTTTCGGCATTTAGCTATATATTTGTGAAACGTCGGAGTAAAAAGTCAATCCTCTCGATATCCCAGAACCGCTTTTCACGAAATGACACAGTACGCGAACGTTTCAATATTTCTTTCGTATCGTCGCTAAAGCTATAAATACAGTACATTTTACAAAAATATGAAATGATAAATCACGCCGGAAGATCGGAACGCGGCGCTGGATACGAAATAATTTTTTTGTTTTTATCTCGAAACGCTTATAACGAAACGAAAACATGAATTCAACGTTCTCGGAAGACAGTCTTCGAATTTCGTTAATTCCCGCGTTTATTCGAATTTATTACTGTTCGCGCGAGAAAATGGCGGCTTGAATTTACACACGCCGGTCTGATACCATGTTCGCGTACGCGCCGGTAAATTCTGCAGTCACAACTTATGACAAATAAGAACATAATTCTTGGTTAATTCGTGCCAAAACTCGGCACAGTCAAGAGAGGGAACCTCAAAACTTACGAAACTGGAGGCGCCTTGGAAATTGACGACTTAAGGTGATTTATTAGTGGTTTCTGCGACAACGCACGCCACACAATTTCGCGCACCACGCTCGCCGAGTTGTCGCTAATTCCGTGGAAACGAGTCGGAAAAGCTCGAACCGTAAGAATCTCGAAATTTACAGACGGAGTAAAAGAATATGAATTAAAATATAGCAGACCCGTTTACGCGAGAGCTCCAGGTACGTTTTCTCCTATGGAATTTTATTTTATGCAGTCCTCTCCGGCAATTTTCCAAGCGTTTCGCCAACTGCTCCAACAATCGCCTTTGGCTGTTGCATAAACATATCGGCCATAAAAATTCCGCTCGCCATTGAATCGAAAAGCTGTCTCGAAGGAGACAATAATCAGACGACGGCTTTCGCGCCTCATAAGTTATCCAAGTATCGAAATCCGATAATACTTTCATGGTATACTACGGCCAGGGCTGTGCATGAGCGAAAAGAAATGCTTCCCGGCATTAACTCTCCATATTTTGTCGAATGTTTATGGCCCTGCTGTATGTGTGCATCGAAAATGTAAAAACCTGGTTTAATCGTGTCGTACTTTTGGTCAAATAATTCTCGTTTGGATAGAGATGATTTTTAAAATTGGAAATAAATCGATCACGACAGGGGGCTCGACGATAGAAATTAAAATTGTGTAAAATACGCGAAATCGTACATGCATTCAAAAGTGAGCTGTTTACTTTGAACGTATAATTATGAAAATGTTGAAAAAGGAAAAAGAGAATTTTATTGGATAGAATTTAACAGTAAGTGGTAAAAATCATCGAATTTTTGGAATAATTTGTTAAAGATGGCCAGTTCCAGGTCGCGCTGAGGCGAATAAAATCGATTAACTCGATCAAGTAGATTAATAATCGGTTCGAGCACTCGAGCAAATTGATTCAGCGATTATGAATGGCCAACTATCCGCCTATTAATCGATTAACAGATGCCGCTGTTAATTATGGTAGAAACGCAAGACACGCGGCGAAAACCCGCGGCGCAAACGCTGCCGACGAATTCAAACACAGCTGGTTAACTTTCGAATGTATTCCGATCGAATAAGTCGCTTTCGTTTCGTGGATTGCATATGCAATGGCGCTCGGAGGAACAGTCCTCGGTGTGGCTTTGATAAATATTTTTGTCGCTTTTGCCTGGTCATATCGCAGCCACGGGTGAAACTGAACGAGTCGCAAATCCTGCGACGATTTTTATTTCTTTTCCACGGTCTCTCGTTCGCGAACCTATCAATTTCCGTGGAAGCGAACGCCGTAAGAAATACTTTAAATCGACAAATTTTTTATTTTTATTTTTCTTGGAACAGACGGACCACGCAACAATCGTGTGCAAAGGAAACACGATTTAGGGTGAGAAATTTTATCCGAGTTTCAACTTAGTGTTTTTAGTTGGAAAATATTAAAATAGGTATGTATTTCTATTTCTGATTTTTAGATGGATGTATGCTTTGTAATTATTCAACAATTGCTATATTTTTTTTTTCTAGCGATAATTGTGTTGTGGTTTGCACAGTATGTAGTGTAAGATTCTCAGAAGAATAGGCCTTACAAGAACTCAAACATAGTGTGGGTTTATATGATAAAGGTGTACTGTGATGGTATATCTTACTGTATGGACGAAGATGTGAGCGCGAAATAGCACTAAGAAAGTGCAAGAAAATAAGTACAGAGGAAAGTTTCCCCTAGCAATATATGTATGTATACAGGGTGTTCGGCCACCCCTGAGAAAAATTTTAATGGGAGATTCTAGGAGCCAAAATAAGACGAAAATCAAGAATACCGATTTGTTGATGGAGGCTTCGTTAAAAAGTTATTAATGTTTAAAGTACCACCCGTACTGAATTTTTTTCTCGAAAATGCGCAAGATTTCGGGGGTATGTATATTTGCCAAAAATGATTGTAATTGACCCCCGCAACCGAAAATAATTTTTCCAAAACAATTTGAAATTTTTTTTCCCCGTCGAAAACTTTTACACCTTCTCGATTTTTTTTCTCGAAAATGGATAGGATTTCGGAGGCATGTGTATTCACAAAAAATGATTGTAATTAACCCCCACAACCGAAAATAATTTGATATTTTTGAATTTAATTATTAATAACTTTTTAACGAAGCCTCGATCAACAAATTGGTATACTTGATTTTCGTCTTATTTTGGCTCCTAGAATCTCCCATTAAAATTATTCCCGGGAGTGGCCGAACACCCTGTATTGCTCGAGCGCTTGCGAGAAAGCTAGGAGCATAGCCCTCTGTTGGCGACTATGGGAGACACACCACAGTATTACAAGGTTCTCAGAAGAATAATGCTGGAAATATCGTAGCACGGAGACCTTCAGAAAATTATTTTGGGGACGCTTGCTTGTTTTTGATACAAATCTGTTAAGACAAACATGCGTGGGCGCAATTATAGGTCGAACCAGAGCCAGCTGTGTTTACACGAGGCACACGACATACTAATAAGGGAACGGGACACGAGCATCGATGGGCGAGAGGGTAGCTTATAGAAAACAAATACTGATACAATTTAATACGAGATTGGACATGTTCTCGGATTTATAACAAAAATTGTGTGACTTTTGGATCGTTAACCTAGAAAGAGTGTCAACTTACGAAGTTACCGAAATCGAACGAATTAATTATCGATATTCCCGAAAGATAACGATCCTCAACGCCACGTAAAATCCGAGTAATTCGCGACGTACGATGGTTTTAAAATAGGGACGACGCCATGCGTAAGTAATACGCATTATACCGCGATTAGAGTGGAGCCGTATTTGCGTGAATTTAAATTATCTTTGATCGGGCGAATTTAGCTCGCCTGAATTCTCTCCAGCTATTGTATAACCGGAGCTTCGAAATATATACGTAATGGGGCGAAAAAAATTTCGAAATCCATCCTGCAACTACAATTTACGGTACTTCGAATATACACATCGATTTAATAATAAAAATACAGCAAGATACAATGTTCACTAAACGAAAGCTATTCTCGTATAATCTGTCTTTTGAAAAATTACAAATGGATGGAATTATTCAAACTCTGTAACTACTGTTCCGCCCTCATTTTGAACTCACTCTACAGGATATGCGTCCCCGTACGGCCTTAATCCTCCGATACAAATATTTAATGACTTCGTTTCCACCTTTCTCCGTCCTTTGGCGAAACACGTAATCCCCACCAGCCGCTAAATCTTCCGAAACCCTTGACTCAAACTTCGTTGTGTCCCATTTTGCGAGTCTCTCGAAACTTCTGGAAAAGTTGCGGCCGCGGTCAATTAAATCCCACCGAGATCCAATCGAGTTTCCGATATCGATAT